TGAACTGCAGATAACAGTCAGCTGAAGTGGCCTGCAGTACTGCACTCTAACCACTGCGCCACCTCGGCTCATTAGACTCTAGAAAGAGTGCAGAGAAGAGCAACAAGGATGATTTAGGGGACTGGAGGCTAAGACATATGCGCAGAGCTGCCAGACGAAGGGAAGAGCTAAAGAACGGGGGTCGATTTGGGAGTAAAGTCACAGGTGGACGATGAATGGCCCCTCCCAGAGGAAAGAAAAGGAAGGGAAGAGCTAAAGAACAGGGGTCGACTTGGGAGGAAGGCCACAGGTGGACGGTGAATGGCCCCTCCCAGAGGAAAGAAAAGAGGAGCGAAAGGGGAGTGGAGTTTGCAGGAGACCATTAGTTCATTTAATTGGTTCGTGACCCTCCAAGACTCCTGGCCAAGTTTTGCAGAGATCAGCCTGGCAGCTCTCCAAGCCTGATAAGGTCTGTGACTGTAAATCCTCCCTCGAAAATCTTTGCTGGAGGTGAAGGAGCAGAATTCACAGTCAATTAATCAAAGGGGATTTTGTCGGGACAACAAGGAGCTTGCTTCAGGCTCTCGGGAAGCCCCGGTCAGGACAGTAAATCCGGACGGTTGCTAAATGAACCGTTGCAAGTCGAGGGCTTCCTGGACCAGGCGATGCCTTCCCTCCGTATGAACACGGTGGCAGCCCCAGAGACCTTCGGTGTGTTTCCCCTTCCTCAGGCACCCAGGCTCTGCCTCCGCTCTTCGCCCTGTCCTATCACCAGAGTCGCTGGAACTACAACGACGAGGAGGATGTGAACGCTGTGGACAACGGCTTTGACGAGCACGACATCCCCTACGACGTCATCTGGCTGGACATCGAACACACCGATGGCAAGCGCTACTTCACCTGGGACCCCAACAAGTTCGCCAACCCCCGGGAGATGCTTCAGCGGCTGGCAGCCAAGAGGAGGAAGGTAAGAAGGACCGAGCCACCAACCGTCAAATCTTCCTGGGGTGTGGGGAACTTCTGAACCCCCCCCCCACCTTCCTTGTTGGCCTGCGATTTGGGTGCGAGTAGAAGAGACAGTGGGGGATTTGACTGTGGGGTCCCTAGTACTCTCTGAGCTGGGTGGTTTTCCTGCAGACGTCTCATGACCCAACTAGGTAACATCATCAGTGTTAGGAGGAGGAGGAGGAGGAAGAGAATTGTGGGGTCCTCGGTGCTCTCTGAGCTTGTGGTTTTCTTGCAGAGATTTCACGACCCAACTAAATTACATTTGTAATTTACAAATTGCTAAATTTGGGGTACAAACTTTGGGGTGTATTAGAAGGAGAAGGAAAAGGAGGAGAAGGAAAAGAAGGAGGAGGAGGAGAAGAAGAAGATGACAATTCTGGGGTTCTTAGGTGCTCTCTGAGCTTGGTGGTTTTCTTGCAGACATTTCTTGACCCAACTAGGTAACATCATCAGTGCTAGAAGGGAGAAGGAGGAAGGGGAGAATTGTCGGGTCCTTGATGCTTTCTGAGCTTGGTGGTTTTCTTGCAGACATTTCTTGACCCAACTAGGGAACATCATCAGTTCTAGAAGGGAGTAGGATTTGCAAAATAGAGGAGGAAGAAGAGGAGGAGGAGAATTGGGGGGTCCTTGATGCTCTCTGAGCTTGGTGGTTTTCTTGCAGACGTTTCATGACCCAACTAGGTAACATCATCAGTGCTAGATGGGGGGTTGGGAAGAGGAGGAGGAGGGGAAGAAGAATGTCTCTAGGGTCCTTCTTGCTCTCCTAGTCCTCCTCTTCCCATCCTCCTTCTCCACTCCAGAATCCCCTCTCCCTTCTAGCACTGATGATGTTCCCTAGGTGGGCATGGAACGCCTTCAAGAAAACCACCAAGCTCAGAGAGTACCATGGCCCCCACAATTCTCTTCCTCCTCGCCCCACAATTTGGATAGTCCTGGCATGGCCACAATCTAGAACCTAAACTAAAAAAAATAGATTTGGGTGAAGTGGGAGCAGTTATCTATTCATGCGGTACATTCAACTAGAAGGATGTATTAATGCTACCGCTTAAGTCCATCACCCCAATCCGTGTTATTTGCCCTCCACCCCAGATGGTGAGCATTGTTGACCCGCACATCAAAGTCGACAGCAGCTACCGAATCCACAATGAAATTCGCTCCCGGGACCTTTACGTCAAGACCAAGGATGGGAATGACTATGAAGGCTGGTGCTGGCCAGGTGAGTAAAAAAACTCTAGGATGAATCCAGGTGTTGAGACTCTGGAAAGAGTGCAGAGAAGAGTTGACAAAGAGGATTAGAAGGCTAAATTATACAAAGAACTGTTGCAGGAATTGAGTCTGTCTAGGTTAATGAATAGGGACGTGGTGGCTCGGGGGCGAAGACGCCGAGCTTGTCGATCAGAAATGTCGGCAGTTTGGCAGTTCGAATCCCCAGCGCGGCGTAACGGACTGAGCTCCCATGACTAGTCCCAGCTTCTGCCAACTTAACAGTTCGAAAGCAGGTAAAAAATGCAAGTAGAAAAATAGGAGCCACCTTTGGTGGGAAGGGAAGAGCATTCCGTGCGCCTTTGGCATTGAGTCATAGCAATAGCAGTTCNTCCAGGGGGTTGCAATGGATCGGACACAACTTCACAACTCACAACATCAACAACAAGCTGGCTGGGGAATTCTGGGAGTTGAAGTCCAAAAGTCTTAAAATTTCCAAATTTTGAAACCCCTGATTCACAGTAACCTAGCTGGCTGGGGAATTCTGTGAGTGTTTTATTTTAATTCCTATCAAAGAAGCAACAAGTAGTCAAAATTGGCAACTCTATAACTAACCCGGCACCAGTTAACCGCGGTTTTACCCAAGGCAGCGTTCTAGGACCAATGTTCTTTTCTACTTTACATAAACGTCCTTTGTGATCACGGTGGAAGAGATCCGGTGGAAGAGATCCACAGCCGCGTTCACTTTGCCGACGATGTAAAACTGTTTTAACACCACAGGGGAATTCTACTACTCTACAAAACAACCCGGATTATGTATCTTGGATGGTCAAACAATTGGCAACCTCAAACCTCTGCTAACAAATGCTCAGTCCTATACATTGGCAGTAAAAAATCAGAACGTCTCAAGATGTAACGAAAGATTAAAAAAAAACCCAGAACATCAAATGCAAACTGGGCGGAAACGATCTAAGAGATGAGCCACCCTCTGTCTGTCAAAAGTTAAAAAAAACCACAAGTCTTAATATTGCCAATTAACAAACCTTTGATTTACAGTAACCTAGATGGCTAGGGAATTCTGGGAGTCGAAGTCCAGACATCTCCAATTGGCTAAGGTTGAGAAACGCTTAAATCCATGTGTTCCCTGCCCATTTTTTCTTGCAGACCATGTTCGGGAAGATGCTCGATTATATACAAGGCGGAGGAGAAACGCCCCAGACTGATGTCCGCTGGATGTCGGAGAGCGGGATCATCGACGTCTTCCTTCTGCTGGGACCTTCGCCCACGGATATTTTCAAGCAGTACGCATCCCTCACAGGTGAGCCGGTGGGAATCGGGGCGATTTTGAGGATAAACAAGAAGAAGAAGGGTTAACGCCACTTTATAAGGCCTTGGTAAGGCCACACTTGGGATACTGCATTCAGTTTTGGTCGCCACGATGTAGAAAAGATGTGGAGACTAATAGCAATAGCAATAGCAGTTAGACTTATATACCGCTTCATAGGGCTTTCAGCCCTCTCTAAGCGGTTT